GTCTCTAAGCTGATTGCAACAATATTTTTTTGTAATGCATTCGCAAAATGTTAACAAATGAGACCTTATCGTAAAATGTAAGAAACATCCTTTCTTTAAATGTGCTTAACAGCTGAAATTGTGTAAGTGTGTGAGTGTATTAGTGTGTGTGTGTGTGTGTGTGTGTGTGTACTGACCGCTAACACGTGTGTGTCCAGTGAAAACACACTGTAACCACAACACTGGAGATCTGAGAGGGTTCAGGGCGAGTCTGTGAGCTGATGTCAGTCTCTGTGTGTGTGTGTGTGTGTGTGTGTGTGTGCGTGTGTGTCATGACTCATGATTTACATTACAGGGAAAATACAGCTAAAGCCTGTTAGAGGCCAAAACATCAAGAACAACATCGACTGACGCCAAATACCTCATAACCTGAGCATGCGAAGATCCCCAAAAAGTGTGTGTTAGAGTGTGTGAGTGAGGTTGCATGAGCATGTGTGTAAAAAAGAGTGTGTCTGTGCGTGTGAGAGCGTGTGTGTGTGTGTGAGAGAGTGTGTGTGTGTGTGTGTGTGTGTGTGTGTGTGTGTGAGAGAGAGAGAGAGAGAGAGAGAGTGTGTGTGTGTGTGTGTGTGTGTGTGTGTGTGTGTGTGTGTGTGTGTCAGTGAAACGCACACATGAAACATGAGCAGCAGTTTAAGTGTCAACAGGGTCGACAAGCACACTTCCTGTTAGAGCCACAACACACACACACACACACACACACACACACACACACGCACACACACACACACACACACACACTCTCTGTCTCTCACACACACACACACACACGCACACACACACACACACACACACACACACCTCTGTCTCTCTCACACACGCACACACACACACACACACACACACACACGCACACACACACACACTCTCTGTCTCTCTCACACACACACATGCACACACACATATATTTGCACGCACGCACACACACGCATAAACACACACACACACACACACACACACACACACGCATGCACACTCTCTCACACACAAAGAGGGACACACACACAGAGAGAGACACACTCTCTTTCTCACACACACACAACACACACACACTCTGTCACACAGACAGACACACACACACTGTAACAGTTTTATAAAGTTACTTTTGTAAAATCAGTATATAGGGTCCTTCAACCTGTTTACAGTTTACCTGGATTTGCTAAAGAGCCATTCCACCGAAAGGGTGACATTTCTGTCCCCAGGACATTATATGTATAAAATTGCATGAAAATTAACTCTAAAATACATTTTATTATTAAGCAAAATGTCCTGCACATTAAGCTAACTACAAATTTAAAATGTATAATTAAAAACTTAGATAAAAACTACATAGAACACTCAAAAAATGCATTTTCTGCATGTCCCCACTCTCCATCTCTAAACTTTACAATGAAATATAATGATTCAAATCCTTCAGAAATCTGATTTTTTTTGCATTGTTGTGTGACTTTATATCCAATCTGCTTTAAAATGAAAAAAGAAAAATACATTTGATCTAATATTTTAGATAAAATACACATTTTAGTCATGTCCCCGGGTTTTCACTCAGTCCTGTTACCCTAACACATTACCCCCTCTGAAAAACTGGGAATAATCCACAAGACCATTTTCAACAGTAAGTTGCATCATCTGGATCTTCTGAAGGCACTGGGAAGACCATAAGTTAGTCTTCTCATTTTAATTTCTGTATATTTGATGAAATTGTAACTACGACTGAGAAGGTCAATCTCAACACTCTGTCCTGTTACCTAAACTTTTTCTTAGATTTTATTTGTTTATTTTAAAAATATAAACTTTTGGTAAGGCACTAGAAATGGCTCAGTGTCCTCATGCTATTAGCATATACTATGTGGCCATATGCCATGTATTTGATAACTTTTTGCTTGAAAACTCAATCCTGTTACTTTCAGTCCTGTTACTATTTTTTTCATTTTTCTAAAAAAATTTAATTAAATCACTGTTTTTATCAGTTTTGTTTGGCCCATCATTTATACAATTATTTAATAAATTAAATTGTTAAAAAATATATAAACTTGAGGCTTCGGTCTTCTTTAAAATTAAAAAAATGGCTTTGTTTTTTATTAAAATACACCTTGCCTTAATAGTGATTTTATTGTCACAAATATCAATTTTTGGAACATATAACCAACAATTTCTTTAAAATAAACACTTTCTTGTGGGGAAAACAAAGGAATTAATTGACATGCTTTTAAACTTGCTTTTTAAATGGCACATGGTTTTCGGTAACAGGATTGAGAAAACATGCGCCCATCTTCTGCTTAAACCTTGTAAAAAAATAAATAAAGTTGCCTGAGATTGACCAATACACATTTTGAATAGTTAAATATGTGTAGTATTAGATTCAATGTTGAAAAAGATAAAAAATAAAGTTTAATTTTGAAGAATTACAACAAGTAAATGTCACCCATTCGGTGGAATGGCCCTAAAACACATTTCTTGAAATCATCACTCACTTTCTCAAAACCTTAAACACAAAACCACATTTTCAAACCGCATTCACAGAACCTCTGACTCCTGTAGTACTTTTACTTGTACTTGAGTAAAATTTAGCAAGGGGTATCTGTACTTTTTACTCAAGTAACAAAGCTCTGTACTCTGTCCGCCTCTGTATGTTGGTTGGAGTTCTGAACGGACTGCAGACCTCTGCGTGATCACGAAGCGGAATTTATAAGCAAGATCACGGGAATCAATAGCCTAATACAGCCCAGTTGTGCTAAAATAAATATCATGAGACGTCCATCATCAGATCAATGACATGGAAAAGTTAAGTTAGAGCCGCTAAAGCCAGTGCTATACCCATGCGAACATGAACACTAGCGTTTCCCTCCAAAAATATAGCCTATAAACTTATCTAAGTTGTCACCCTGCCTCTCCAAATGCAAAACTGACATTAACTAAATGCAATAACAGCTTAAAAAGTACTTGGGTGTGTGTTTTATTTTATATTTACCGTTTAATAAAGCAATCGCTGCTGTCTGTCCATGGCTCTGAGTCTGATCCATCTCTCCACCTGTCAGACTGCAACACCGATGCACTCGCTCCAGGTGAACCTGTGCTGGGAACATCTACCAGAATAAGCCTGAGAGACTGAACCTGTGATTAAAGGGACAGTAAAAAGTAAAAAAATAATAAAAAAAATAATAATAGTGATTAACAGTAATACAATGTTAAAGTAAGAAATTGGGTAAGACAGCTGACACCGGTAGTTTGTTTGTTTTATTGTTGAAATATTTGCCCTAAAGAAAGGGGGATGTGCTGATTAGCTGTAATTGCACAGTGTAACAGAGGGGGGCAGTAGTGGTCGGTAACCAGCATCAGAGATAAAGAGGCAGAGAAATGTTGAAGAAGAGATGCAGTTTATTTCATGCACAACAATGAACAAAACACTCAGCACATCATTATAATACTGGTCGTCCGTTGTGCTGATGGAGAAGATCCAGGATCGAGCATTCTTGAAGGGAATGTTGCCAGGATGCGGCAATACTGCAGGCATGTGCTTATGCTTATGCAATGTACAATATTAGTTCACTAGATGCACTCATAGATGCACTTTTATGGACTTCAAAACAGAAACAGCCATTCACTGCCATTATAAAGCTTGGAAGAGACATTTTTAATATTACTCTGATGTCATACACACCCTGGATGACTTGAGGGAGAGTAAATCAATCAAGGGCTAATTTTCATTTTTGTGTGAACTACCCCTTTAATCTTGCACAAATAATTTGGCAATGGAACATATAATAGAAATAGGACAGTAATTATTACAGTTTTTCTCGATTGCTTAAACACTATAACCAGGCTTTTGAACTAAAATTTCAAAACCATAATGCCATTTATCAAAAAGCACACCCATTTCACTGAACTATGAACACTATTCCCCTGTTTTGACACATTAGTCAGATTTGTTGAACTGTCACAGCAAAACTCTACACAAATCCCTTCATTTCTCATTGCCTACACCACGTGGTCATTTAGAAAGCACTAGCATTCAATATTGTTCACTCAAGTCAGCTCAGCTTCAGCTCAGTTAGCACACAATTACCCAGGTGAACACACATCAGTCAGATCCTTCAATAGAAAGATAAAAGGTTATACAATCTTTTATAAAAGATATAAATCAGTTTACTGAGTTTTGGAACAATGGATCCACAGAGAAATACAGCAATATGTCGAGGAGTGAGAGGAAGAGGAGGAGGAGGAGGAAGATGAACAGGAGGAGGAGGAGGAGGAGAAGGAGGAGGAAGAGGAGGAGGATGAGAAGGAGGAAGAGGAGGAGAAGGAAGATGAGGAGGAGGAGGAGAAGGAAGATGAGGAGGAGGAGGAAGATGAGAAGGAGGAGGAAGAGGAGGAGGATGAGAAGGAGGAAGAGGAGGAGAAGGAAGATGAGGAGGAGGAGGAGAAGGAAGATGAGGAGGAGGAGGAGAAGGAAGATGAGGAGGAGGAGGAAGATGAGGAGGAGGAGGAGAAGGAGAAGGAGGAGAAGGAAGAGGAGGAGGAGAAGGAGGAAGATGAACAGGAGGAGAAGGAGGAGGATGAGAAGGAGGAGGAGGAGAAGGAGGATGAGAAGGAGGAGGAGGAGAAGGAGGAGGAGGAGGAGGAGAAGGAGGACGAGAAGGAGGAGGAGGAGAAGGAGGAGGAGGAGAAGGAGGATGAGAAGGAGGAGGATGAGAAGGAGGAGGAGGAAGAGGAAGAGGAGGAGGAGAAGGAAGAGGAGGAGGAGAAGGAGGATGAGAAGGAGGAGGAGGAGAAGGAGGAGGAAGAGGAGGAGGAGGAGGAGAAGGAAGATGAGGAGGAGGAGAAGGAAGACGAAGAGGAGGAGGAGGAGAAGGAAGATGAGGAGGAGGAGAAGGAGGAGAAGGAAGAGGAGGAGGAGGAGGAGAAGGAAGATGAACAGGAGGAGCAGGAGGAGGAAGATTAGGAGGAGGAGAAGGAGGATGAGAAGGAGGAGGAGGAAGAAGAGGAGGAGGAGGGAGGAGGAAGAGGAGGATGAGAAGGAGGAGGAGGAGAAGGAAGAGGAGAAGGAGGAGGAGGAAGAGGAGGATGAGAAGGAAGAGGAGAAGGAGGAGGAAGAGGAGGAGGAGGAGGAGAAGGAGGATGAGAAGGAGGAGAAGGAAGAGGAGGAGGAGAAGGAAGAGGAGAAGGAGGATGAGGAAGAAGAGGAGGAGGATGAGAAGGAGGAGGAGGAGGATGAGAAGGAAGAGGAGGAGGAGGAGCATGAGAAGGAGGAAGAAGAGGAGGAGAAGGAGGAGGATGAGAAGGAGGAAGAGGAGGAGGAGAAGGAAGAGGAGGAGCATGAGAAGGAGGAGCATGAGGAGGAGGAGAAGGAGGAGGATGAGAAGGAAGAGGAGGAGGAGGAGCATGAGAAGGAGGAGAAGGAAGAGGAAGTGGAGGAGGAGAAGGAGGAGGAGGAGGAGAAGGAGGAGGAGGAGGAGGAGGAGAAGGAGGAAGAGGAGGAGGAGAAGGAGAAGAAGGAAGAGGAGGAGGAGGAGGAAGAGGAGGAGGGGGAGGAGGAGGAAGGGCAAGGGCAAGAAGACAAGCAGTCTCGGATGAAATTCAAGCCACTTTAGTTGGCCATGTCCTTGTCCATGGTATGACTATGAGGGAGGCTGGGCAACGAGTACAGACAAACTTGAGTCGCTTCACCGTCGCCTCCATCATCAGGACCTTCAGGGAGGTGTGGTGGCAAACACATTTCTATCACTGAATAAGAGACACACATTTCCAATTGTCTTTGATGAGGTTTATGTTCTTGCCAGAAAAGGCCAGCAGTCGTACAGTCACACAGAGTGGCTGCAGAGTGTGACAGTGAACAGAAGGCATCCTTTCTCCTTTAGTCTTGACTCACAGAGTGTTATCTTTCTAGGCCAATGATGGTATTTCAACCATATGTGGAACATTCTTAGACTTGTTCATCATATTGTATCCTTGAGTGGAGGCATGAACCAACACTCTTTACCATTCCAATACAATTCCAGATTTGAATAAGGTTTGTGTGTGCTCTTTTACTGTCATATGATGCTCACACACATCTTACGTACGAGTAGGAGAGAGGGAAAAAAAGATGGGGGGATGGGGAGGGCGGGGGACCACAAGCAACATGAATTACCAGTTTTGGAAATGTTGTTTTGAATTTATAGCACTAGTGTGTAAGACTATGTTGTAGTGTGTGTATTTCTGAGGGCTTGTGTGTGCTGTCAGAGGGCAAAGTTTGGTTTTTCAGCAAGAGTTGATGGTTTTGAGTGTAGAGCTTCATTTTGACCTGAAAATAGGATGTTTGGGGAATTGGGTGAGACGTTATGGATTTGTGTTCACTGTTTTGAGAATACGAGGCATAGTTTCAAGAAATGTGTTTAAGCAATCGAGAAAAACTGTAATAATAGAAGCATCACCAGTTTTTAATAAAGGGGTAACTCGCACATTTCCATGTAGCGGGAACAGTAAAAGTATTCAAAGACAGATTAAATAGGTCAGCGAGTGGAAACATCAGTACATGGGCAGCAAGTTTAATAAACCTAGCCTCAAGCCCATTCGGACCAGCACTGCTATATTCCTTCAGATCAGCTATAGCATTATAAACATCAATGGGCATCATTTTGTTACATTTAAATGAGCCAGATGCAGAAGAAGAAGTCGAAACATGATCATTGGTTTGAGAATAAACATGATTGGAATCACTAATTGTAGTAAAATGCTGATTGACAGCATTAGCAATAAGGGTAGGATGGGTAATTGTAACATTAGTCATTTTCAATTGGTTAGCAGGAGTTTTGATATTCCTATTGAGAACTCGATTCAAATGATCCCAGAACTGTCAAGGGTTTTTAATATCCTTAAGAAAACAGTCTCTATAGTAACTGGATTTAGCATTTCGGGTTTGAGTCTTACACTGATTCCTAAGAGATCTATTATAATCCCAGTCAGTTAGGCGATATTTGGCCCATGCCTTATCTCTTTGCTTAAAAAGATTGATTAAATGAGAACTGATCCAGGGTAAGTGCTCCCCTTTAACTCTGATAGTTCTAAACGGAAAATGCTTATCAATTACATTAATGATTTCAGAGTGTAAAAAAGTCCATGCATCATCGACATGAGGAATTAGCTGAAACTATCCCAATTAATAAAAGTCAAGTCATGTATAAAGCAATCAACATTGTTTTTTGTTATATATATATATGTATTTTAATATATTTCGGAGGGAAATGACGCAGTTTAATCTTCCAGACACAGTAAATAACAGAATGATCACTAAAACAATCTGATATACCAGATTTAACGATCCATAATCCGCTCTGATCTCGGCTGCTATATGAGATCGAGTGATTTCAGAGCCGGGTCAGACCTCAGTATTCATGCTCTGCACCCCGCCTGCCGACATGGAGACCATTACTTTGCTGACGCTAAAGGGTTTTACATCATTAAGGGTGATGACTACCGCAGAGTCACTGACCTGTCAGAAGACACTGATTCCTCAGTCTTCACCCTTCATCCCAGCTGTCGGGGCGGAGACCATTACCTGGCAGACTCTGTCTGGGTTTACGTCATCTTCCAGGAGAAGGGCACTTACAGAAAAACAATTATACTGAATGGAAGGTTTGTTTCTAGAGAATATCCCCTGCCTCCCAATTCCAAAGATGGTCTCTATTACTGGGGTGATATGGATCACTTCTACTTCCTCAAGCCAGCCTCAGATTGGGGAGTTGAATACTACAGAGGTACCGACCTCCACACAGATGACTGCACTGCTGTCTATTCCCTTCACCCCGATGTCCTGAACTCCTGCCAGGAGGGCTGTCCATAACCAACGGCCCAGCGTTCGGAAAGTGGGTGAGCATTAAAACTGTAAGTAATGACAGTCCCACACCAGTGACATGGTACAAGAAAATGAATAAAAAGGTTGGATACAATAAGGAGAAGATGTCCAAGATCAAACACAACTGGAAGATAGCAGCGTCAGCCACGATCACGGCTGGAGAACTCGCAGGGTTAATTTCACAGTATCAGTTCTCCTTATCGGGAGAATACGGAGGTTCACGTGTGAACACTGAGAAGGAAAACTGGAATGAAGAGACTGAAGAGGAAGAGCAACTATCATTCCAGCTGAAGCCAAACGAGCGTCTGTATCTGTGGCAGTATCAGCTGGGTCTCGGGTCAGAACCGGTGTTGTTCTGCCGGGATTTGAAGATCACCGATCAGCCGAACCGTCCGACTGAAGTGCCGCTGCTGCCTGTCTAACACGGGCTTCGAGTAAATACCTTAACTGTGACTTCTTAAGCAATTATTCTATATCTGCTGCAAGCATTGCTTTAATTACAGTACATAAAGTTTAAAATACAAAGTTACTCATAACAATAAAAAAAAACTGACAGAATGCTGCTTTAACAATAACTTCTGACATATTTGTTGCATGTTGTATATCAAAAAAGGCTGCGTTATAGAGTATATTAGTTGTCCTTATAGATGTGCAATCGAGTTCTAATAGTGTTTGATGCATAAGTCATAAAAAACTTGTTTTTGATTTGCTTTCTGTGTAAAACATTGGGCTTCACCTGTATCCAGCATAATTAATAATCTACTGTTAATAACCTGCATTCAATAATTATATTATTCATTTTGTTGATCATCATAAGTTTTTTATCCATTACTTTGTCACACACCCTTCCATGGTAGCACATAAGTTGTATTAGTATTATTAATAGTATCATTAACGCATTAACAGGCTATAGCACTACCAATAGTGAGTTCTTCATTCATTCACACCACACACACACACACACACGTACAATCTCTCTCACACACACACACACACACACGTACAATCTCTCTCTCACACACACACACACGTACAATCTCTCTCTCACACACACACACACACACGTACAATCTCTCTCTCTCACACACACACACACGTACAATCTCTCTCTCATACACACACACACACACATACAATCTCTCTCTCACACACATACACGTACAATCTCTCTCACACACACACACACACACGTACAATCTCTCTCTCACACACACACACACACGTACAATCTCTCTCTCATACACACACACACATACAATCTCTCTCTCACACACACACACGTACAATCTCTCTCTCTCACACACACACACACACACACACACGTACAATCTCTCTCTCACACACACACACGTACAATCTCTCTTTCTCACACACACACACACACGTACAATCTCTCTCACACACACACACACACGTACAATCTCTCTCTCACACACACACACACACACACACACACACACACACACACACACGTACAATCTCTCTCTCTCTCTCTCACACACACACACACGCTCTCTCTCTCTGTCTCACACACACACACACACACTGTAACAGTTTTATAAAGTTACTTTTGTAAAATCATAATATAGGGTCCCGCTTCAGAATCTTTGTGTCATTCCTCTCTTGCTGATACAGTGTAACTGCTGTTGCTATGGTTACCAGTGTAACTGCTGTTGCTACGGTTACCATGGCAGCCTTCAGTCAGTGTCTCCCTCTGCTGGCAACAGAGAGTTCTTCACATTACTGAATCATTTCAGTCTGAGACTAAACCACGCATCTAACATTTAGGATATATTAACATTATATAATAATAATATATAATAAATATTGACATTAAAATTAAATTAACTTTAAATAATTAAACTAAATTAACATTAGAATGAAATATTTAGAGATACTGAATGACTTTAATGATGAACAGAGGATGAACTTTATACACTTTAAGAGCCTCCAGAAAACTAAAACATCAGGAAATAAATGTTCTTCCATCAGTAATGTTCACAGGATGATGTGGTTCTGACAGTGACCAGCAGGGGTCACACTAACAGCTTCACACACTCTTAATAAAGTCAGGAGAATCTTGCTGATCAAGTGAGTTAAAACATCAAACATCATGGACTATTTAAACTGATCAAAAGTGCCAGTAAAGACATTTATAATGTTACAAAAAATTATTTTTCAAATA